TAGGAAAGGCTGTCAGGTGCCGTGGCCTAGGTTTCTCACTGAAAATCCTCGTCCCCCGGCGGCACCTTTTTTTGAATTTTCTTCCTTTTCAACGCCGTTTTTCGGATTTTTTTAAAATTTTTTCGCAATAATATTCGGAAAATAGATAACTTTTAACACATTTTAATGCAATAAAAATTTTTGGTCGGAGTCCCCCTTTAAGAGATTTCGATAGTTTTTGCTTCGGAGCATATGAAAACTCACCAACTCACCACATAAAAACCTCTGCAACGTTAAATTTGTTACTTTCCGAAGCAATACCTTGCGAAACGAGTTTTCACCGATGTTTTCGCATTTTCAACTAAAACGCGAGGAAGAAAGTGCGCGAATGTTTTTGATGCTTTTCTAATGCCAGTATTTAGATAATTTGAGCGAAAAATACTGAATTTCAGTGAGAAAACACTTCGAAAAACTAAAAAAATTGTGAAAATTAGACGAGAAATTCGTTGAGTCTTGTGTCGCTAAACAAGGCGCAGGCGGAATTTCGGAGTGTCGTTGCGAATCGAAATTCCGAAACTCGTCAGCTAAAACGGCAATTAAAAATGAATGGTCGAGATTTTTGAAGAAAAAGAAACAAAAAGAGAACAGCATTTTCGGACAAAAATTGTACAAAGTTTTCAGAAAAAAATTTCGTTGGAACTCTTCAGAAAATGGGAAAAGTATGACCGGAAACACGTGCCTTAAACGGAGGATTATTATCACGAAATGACAACTCCAGTTACGATATTTCAACAGAAAATGCGAAAACATGCTTTTAGATGGATACCGAGAAACATTCAGAAATTCATTTTACAGCGTTTTTTTTCCAGCCGCCATCCACCAGCGCCTCTTCGACTGTCATTTAGCCGTTTTTCACCAATCGCGCCTCAGATTCCAATTTTCGTAGAAGTGCTTCTAATAACACATTTTTTAGATTCCCAAATCCCTCTATGACTTTTATCATGTTTTTAGAGAGAACTATTTTTTCAACAAAATTTTCCATTCTGAAGGAATTTGGACCGCCAACTACCGGTCGTTGGCCGGTCAGCGCCTCTTCGACTGTCATTTAGCAGTCGTTCAACAACCTATTTTTTGAGGTGGTCCTATTTTAGGAAAATAAGATTCTGTCATTCCCTATAATCTAGTGGGGGGTATGAGAAATTGTTTTCTGAATGATTTTCAATGAAAACCTTCAAGTCTGTTTTCCAACGGGTTCCGACTGTCCGTCGACGGCCCGTCAGTTCTCCTTCGGCTGCCAACTAGCAGTCATTCGCCAGTTTGCGCCTCTTCAGCTGTCATTCAGCAGTTTTTCAGCAGTCTCCCTCTACCTGTGAGCGGGAGCGCGAATGCTTTTGGAGCTGGGACTCCCAAGTTCGATTCCCCGGTGCCCCTTAATCTTTTTTAAACCTTTTTTAATCATTTTAGATCGGTTTCTATACAATTTAGTGGTCAAGAAACCAAACAAGCAAGCCAAAACTATTACACATTGACCCCTCATGTTCTCTGCGTCTCTTCTAGCGGCAATTTTTCTGTTTACTGGTCAAAGTCATCTCCCTTTCTTTCTCAACTGATTACACTTCCTTTCGAAATTGTCTGGCGTCTCTTCAGACCTTATACTCTCTCGCTATTGCTTTTTATCTCAAAAATCCCCCCTGATGTCATTGGTGGAGGCTTTCTTTTCTTTTGAAATTCTTTCTTTTATTTTTTTGAAAGAATTTTATGACTCAGGTAGTTTTTTCTGGAATTTTTCTAGAATTTTCTATTGTTTAGAGACAAAAAAAAGCAAAAAAAAATTATTTTTCAATAAAAAAAAATAGTTTTTCATCTATTTTTTTTTCAATATAAGTCAGGTGACTGGAGCCCACCTATAGTGATAAGAAATCTTTTTTTTTGCCATTTTTGCTTTAAAATGTTTAAAAAATTCTCAATTTCTCAAAAAGTCCAACTAACCTAATTAGTGTGTCTGTCTGTCTTCTGATCTAGTCTTTACTTTTGTCTTCTTTTCTTCCACTCCAACAACCCTATTACTTTTTAATATGACTTTTTATGACTTCCCCAACCCTATAGACCCCATTTTATACTTTACAAAAAAAAAGCAAAAATGTTTTGACGCGCACCGGGAGTCGAACTCGCTGGCGGCCGCGTTGTCGGCAGATGCGTTGCCGCCTGCGCCGCCGACTGCAAGATGAGATAGAGGCGCGGAGTGCAATCATATACGATTACGTTTTGGGCGCCGCGAGGGGGGAAGGGGGAGCGGCTTGAGGAAAATTTTGGAATCTGAAATTTCCCGAGTAATCTAAAAAACCCAAAAAACAAGGAAAAAAAAGACCAAGAAAAAAAAACCAAGAAAAAAATAAAGACCCACAAATTCAAGTAGACAATCAACTTTTCCCTTTTGTTTACTCATCTTTTGCCTCTTTTTTTTTTCCTTGAAAAATATAACCCAACTTCCTCATTTTTTCCCTTAAAAATTTATAGCTAAACTGAGCAATTTCGAGCTGAGCAATCTTCTAAAAAATTGAACTCTTCTTTTTTTCATTTTTTCCATGTCCCAAGTGTCTTCCCATCCTTTAAAAGTACGGCCCCCCCTCCGCTTCATTCATCTTTTCCCTCTTTTCTCTCTATTTTCTAGAATTTTCTGTGTTTTGGTCCGTTTGATTGACTCTTTCTTTTGTTTTTTCTCTTTTTTCTCTTTTTGGGACTTTTCCCGAAACTCCCACGCAAAGATTTCCCAGTTCTTTGCTTAATTTGGCTATATCTCAAAAACTAGAAAAGCTAGAAAAAAGCGCTCAACTACAAAATTGCTCATCATAAAATTTTACACATTTTTGTAGTTTGTAGTTTTTAAATAGCTCGAACCGTTTTTGAGATGTGCGTCTTTAAAGATTGCGCGCGCAGAGAGGCGAGATCGCTCTCGCTTCTCTGTGTCCCTCTTCTCGACGCGCGCTATCTTTAAAGGAGCATATCTCAAAAACCTGGAGAGCTAGAAAAAAGTCGTAAACTACAATATGTGTAAAATTTTATGCTGAGCAATATGATACTAAAAATGTTATGCTAGCTTTTCTAGTTTTCGAGATACACCTATTTTTCATTTTCGAATATTTTTTGTATGTATCTCAAAAACTAAACTAGCTAGAAAAAATATTTAATTACAAAACTGCTCAGCATAAAATTTTAGATATTTTTGTAGTTTATAATTTCAAGCTAGCTCTAATCGTTCTCGAGCTATGCGCCTTTAAAGATAGCGCGCGTCGAGAAGAGGAGACACAGAGAAGCGAGAGCGATCTCGCCTCTCTGCGCGCGAATTCCACCACATTGG